CACATTCTCAATCCACTAACAGTTGACTCCAAATTTCACAAGAACTGATAGCTACACACAGAGACGAACCCGCAGCAAAAAAACCCCTTTCAACACTCGTAAGCCATTGAAGTTTCCATACTTTTTTTCTGTCTTGACCAAACAGAATACATGACTTGCTTCATAACTATTCTGCAATACCCTTTAACCTGACCCAGGAGTACCCTTATTGATACTCACACAACCATAACACGCCCATAAAATTCAAGTTTCCAAGGTGTCCTTTAGTTCCATGTATCGTATGAGTTACCAGGCTAGAATAACAACAAAGCTTGAATCATCACTTGTAACTGACTTTGCCAAACTGATTCAACCCAAAAGATAACCTGAAAACATTATGAGTCTTGGCCAAACCCTTGTAAAACCAGTACAACCCTTGTGATCCAGCACGCTTTCAATTCCAATAAATATGTAGAATTTGAGCAAACCCAAAACTTTAGTATAGAGCATATAAAATACCTTGTGACTCCAGCAGAATCAGACTTTAAATCTTCCAAACTTGAGTCTTGAAGTTGATGTTTCAATTCTGATCCACAACCTTGAGTCACAGTGCTTGTACTCAAACTTTTCAGAATCAAACCCAGCTAATACTTGTGAAAGACCTTCAGCTTACATCAACCCCTAATCGGTTTCTTTAGCACTGATAAAGAACACCATCTTTGATCATATGATTTTTCCTTCTTCTCTGAATGTTTTCTTTCTTTTGCTTCCAACACATCATATGATTTTTCCTTCTTCTCTGAATGTTTCCTTTCTTTTGCTTCCAACACTTCAACTTGTGAGTAATCTAAAATTCTTCTCACTATGTTGTAGATTCTTGTATCTAGAGACAATCTGATTTCATAAATCCCTAGAATCACTTCACTTGATTCACACTTCTACAATGAATCCCTGATACAACTTGTTTGCCTCTCTCTTTCACACTCACTTACACAACATAACCTAAGCTAAACACGTTTTCAACTACTTAAGCTTCTCAAGAACTTTATGTTACTCCCCTAAGATCTAGCTAGATCTTTCCGGTAACGTAAATAAGATCTTAGCAAACTGTCTGTGTTCCGGTCTCAGAAAATTGCTTCAAAGACTTGTTCAGAACCTTTTGTTTTCTTCAATCTTGTTGTTCTTGAGTGAGATGCTTCATTATTAATCAGAATGAGTCGTACAACTCCTTTCTCTCACGTGTTATTCACCAAGAGATAGCTTGGATTTCAGCTTGAAACTATCTTGTCTCCACAGTCTTCCTCAAAATCTGCGAAACACAATAATGCTCCAACAAGAAAGAGTCTAATGCTTCTTCTTCTCTTTTGCACCATTTAACAAGAGCTTCTGATTTGTTCTTCACAACCAAACTTTTCAAACAAAAAGACGTGGTTGCTTAAAGGAGCCTTGCTGGTCCAACTTTCTTTTTTCACTCTCTTTCTTTCTCCAGATCTTTTCTCTCTTAGATATATTTTATCTCT